GTCCACCAAAAGATAAGGTGTCATAAATAGATAAATTTAGTGAGTCGCAGAGAATTGGTAGTATGATGTATGATCTGTCTAAATACCTATTGTGAGATGTGCTTGCTTTGAGACATTAACCCTGAGCAGGGGTATGTGACTTTCTCCTGCAATCCTGCAATCTCCCTTTGTGTTAAACAGCTGATGCATGGCAATCCACTGTGTCGTGCAAAGCAGCTGAGCTTCAAAACCAGGAAATAAAAGTCAGAATAGAGCCGGTGCGGGCGGGTAGACCCAACAGCTGATCATTGGAGCAAACCGGTTCACTCACAGATGATCCTTGGAGCTACCGATTCGCCCGAACCGGGCTGAACCGGCAGAATCCCATCCCTGATCCTGAGTGTAAATAGAAGTAGTCCTCGACTTGCAACCAAAGTTACCATTGAAAAAAAGTGAATTATGACTGTTTTTCATACTTATCATCATTGCAGCATCTCTGTGGTCACCTGATCAGAATTTCAGAAGCTTAGCAACTGTCTCATGTTTATGAAAAATTGCAGTGCCATGTGATCATGTGATCACTTTTTGTGACCTTCTGACAAACAAAATCAATGAGAAAGCCAGATTCTCTTAACAACCACGTTACTGACTTAGAAACTGTAGCGATTCACTTAAGAACTGTGCCAAAAAAAAGTTGGAAAAAGGGGAAAAAGCTCACTTCACTGTCTTGCTTAACAACCAAAATGTTGGGCTCAAGTGTGTGGTCCTAAGTCGAGGAATACTTGTAACTTTGCAGAAATAAAAGTTTTTAAGATGTTCCCATCCATCTTTCTGAGATTATTTGAGTTACCTCTCACCAAGTGAAATGAACCGCACAACTTTGGGCTGATCTGACAGAAGCACCTTGAAGCTGTGGAATGACAAAGAAATGTAAAATAAATAAATTGAAAATATTACAAGTGGAATGAAATATTTACCACTCCTAAGGGAGCTCGAAATGAATATGAAGAGCCATGGTGATGCAGTGGTTAGAATGCAGTACTGCAGGCTACTTCTGCTGACTGGCGGCTGCCTGCAATTTGGCAGTTCGATTCTCACCAGGCTCAAGGTTGACTCATGCTTCCATCTTTCTGAGGTTGGTACAAATGAGGACCCTGATTGTTGGGGGCAATAGGCTGACTCTGTAAACTGCTTAGAGGAGACTGTGAAGTGCTATATAAGTAAGTGCTGTTTTTACAAAGCTACTGCTACTATAAAAGCCTTGTTTAATGTTCAGCTCAGGTCTTGATGATCTGCACTTCACACCCCATGATATTCTTATAACTGGAAATTTTTCTGTAATAGGGAAACAGTCCATCCAAACTTTTCCAATAATTTTTGTTTGACTACCTAGTATAATTTACTAACATGGCTCTCCTAATAGCTTCCCATTCAAGTACTAATGTCAGGTCCAACTTTGCTGGTTTCTTTTTTCCCTAAGGTCAGCTAAGATCCATTGGACATTGCCAACTGATGCAACTAACAAAAGTGTTTTTATCCTGTCCTTCCAACAAAATCCTCAAGAAATCTCCTTAACAACCCTGAAAAGTTGGAAAAGGAGATAGTTCCTAACACCTGGGCTAAAGAAATATAAAGAATCGAGATTTATTGCATTAAACCCACCCAGGTTTCTCAGCAAGGGTTTTTGAAACACAGATTATCCAAGGATATCCTTACTTTCATTTTTTTCTCTTGACTGCATTGCAATAACATACTGATTTATATAGGAATTGCAATGGAAAATGGTTGTTGAATTGAAAAAAGTCATATTGGATTTTTTTTTTTTTGCATTCTGTAAACAAGCATTCTGATTCCTAATGTAATTGTGCATTACAGCAAATAGCTGTTTTTTAGTTTCTCTCATATTAAGAGCTCCATAAGGAGTAAAACGTTTGTCCTCTTGTGCATATAGAGTTCCTGATTAGATTTTTATTTTCCATCTCACAAGAAAACCATTTTATTCTGAATATTATATTACAAGACTACTTAAGGAGCATTAAATGTTTGAAAGTTTGGACATGCTAGGTTAGAGCCTTCCTGTTAAACTATAATCCAATGTATTGTATATTTAGGTAAATATTGTAATTTGTTCATCAAATGGGATAATTTATTTTAAACTATTTATACGGCTGCCCATCTCGCAGTACAAAAGCAACTCTGGTTTTTCATTTGCTAGTGAATGACTAAATTAAAGTTTATTGCTAGCAATGGTAAATCTTTATAGTTTTAATTCAATTACTGTAGCATCAATAAAGAACATTGCTAGCTCAGGGTTGAAATGAGGGGTCCTTGGTGCTCTCTGAGCTAGGTTGTTTTCTTGCAGACATTTCATTACCCAAATTAGGTGCCCCGTTTTGGCTGGCGAAGTGTTGCAAAAAGCCATCCAGACTGAAATCGGGACACGGGGGCCTCACGCGGCCCCATGCCATTTTGGCCAGCAAAGTGCTGCAGGAGGCTGTCCAGGCCAAAAATGGGGCGTGGGGGGGCCATACGAGGTCCCTGTGCCCCATTTTGGCTGGCAGGGTGCTACAGGAGGCATCCATCCCGTCTCCCCCACCATCACCAGCCCGTGGAGAAGAACTACAATGCTGATTCAGTCCTCAAAGAAATTCAGTTTGACAACCCTGTCCTACTGCCTTGAATTGTCAGTATTGATGGGGGTGGTCTTAGAGGTTGTTTGGCTTATTTGACTTGCTTGAAAGTTTCTTGATTGGGATACAGAGGAACTTCGGGTTGCGAGCGTAATCTGTTCCAGGACTATGATCGCAATCCGATTTGATCATGACTGGAAGCACGACCGTCTGCACATGCGTGGACAAAGAAAAAAAAAAAAAAATGGCGCCGAAGGGGAAATCAGCATAGAAAGGGAATCTTTCCACGCCAATTTTGTTTGCCACCCGATTTTTGAATCGTGACCCGATTCAAAAATCAGGTGGATTTTTTGGTCATCACCCGATCTGATCGCAAACAGAAGCATTCGTGACCCAAGATTCCACTGTATTATAATACTGTAGTATTATAGTTTGGGTTTCATTACAGGTAGTCCTTGACTTATAATTGAGCCCAAAATTTCTGTTGCTAAGCAAAACATTTTATGATCTTGATTGCCATAGTTGTTAAGTGAATCACTGCAGTTGTAAATAACATGGTTGTTAAGTGAATCTGTCGTAAAAGATGATCACATGATCCCGGGACACTGAACCTGTCATAAATATATGGTGAAGACTACCTGTATATTTCACCTTTAATTTGTATAACTTATGGCAGCACGCATAATGGTTCAGCCTCCTAGTTTGCTCACAACAACAACCCCTTGAGGTAGGTTGAACTGAATGGGAGTAACTCTCCCATTTTTAAAATCTTATCTTCTTGTGTAAACCAAGTAAACAATTCGTTTCTGAACATAGTTCAAAAATGATCTCATTGACTTTAAAACCGTTAGGATTCTCTACTTTTATACTTTTAGTATAGAAGTATACTAAATATGGAAAACTATACTTATACATAATATTAAACTTCATCCGTGACAATGATCTTTGAAGGCTTGTTTCCTGTGAATGCCTCCTGCCTTTCCTCCAAGAAGCAGGTTGCTACTGAACAGATTATTTTCAATCCTGGTGTCCCAGTGAGGTTCAAATTATCTTTACTGAGAAATAAATGGATCAAAAAATTGTTTTTATGAGCTTTTTAGATATGTCAATGCTTGATTCTTCATGTTGTCTCTGTTGAGACCTCACTTTTCAATTGACATTTCAATGATTTCATTGTTTTAACAAACCGTTCCAGGTTTTGCACTGATTTAAAGGCAACTTTAAATAATAAATGTAGAAAAAGATCATTCCCTTCCTTTTTTGTAAGAGTTGCTTCTACATGGCTTCTCCCCTCGTTTAATTTTCTCAATTTTATTTTTATTTATTTCATCTCGGGATGTAGAAAATGTAAAATAGTAATAAGATATGGAATAGAATATAAAAATGAGCATGAACTTGAATTTGTGTCTGCACAAAGAAATGTAACCTGGGATCATGCTGCTTTCAAAAAAGATGTTTTATTTGTTCTTTTTGTGAAAACTCAAAGAAAATTTACAAAAAAAAAGAAGAGTTGCTTCTAAATCAGGAATCTCCAAACTTGGCAACTTTAAAACTTGTGGACTTCAACTCTATGCTATGCTGGCTGGGAGTTGAAGTCCACAAGTCTTAAGTCTTAAAGGTGCCAAGTTTGAAGGCCCCTGTTCTAAATGGTGCTTCCCAATAAGAATTTATCAAACAAAAGTGGTTTCTCAGCCCGCTCTGTTGAAAGTGGACTGCAGGGCTATTATATTGGTGTATTATTTTTTCTCAGTGCCCCCCCCCCCTTGCTCAAAACTGAAGTGGTGAAGCACAGCTTATGGATCCCAGTCACTTAAAACCCTTTTCTTTCTCTCTTTTCATTATCATTATTAAAGCCCTGCAAAGGTGTTTAAAGGTTTGATTCCTACCCACCTCCATCCCCCATGGATTATGCAGAGTCCCCCTAACTCAGGGGTCTTAACTTGAGCAACGTTTAAGGCAGGGGTGTCCAACCTTGGCAACTTTAAGACTTGTGGACTTCAACTCCCAGCTTTGCTGGCTGAGGAATTCTGGGAGTTGAAGTCCACAAGTCTTAAAGTTGCCAAGGTTGGAGACCCCTGGTTTAAGGTGTGTGGGACACCACCTGACCGGGGAATTCTACAAGCGGAAATCTACACGCCTCAAAAGCGGCTGAGGTTGAGAAACGCCGCTCGAACTAATTCGATGTTTCTTTCCTTCCTGTCGTTAAAAGTTTTCAGGGCCGGTTGCATTGTTTTAGGGCTGTCTTACCTCACCTTAAAAAGGAACAACATATTGTATCGTTCCTTCTTTCTCCCAATCAGGAGTAGGAGGCGTGATTTCTTCTCAAAACACTGGGGGTGAGGGTGGAGAAAAATCCCCCGCTGCTAAAAGGTCGCAGCCACGCCGAGCGGCTTTCTCTTTCGATTTCTCCCGCCCTTCGCACTACTTTGCCCGGGATTTTCCAGCCCGCGGCTTGCATTCTCCCAACCAGACCGGGGCTCTTCGAGAGACGAGAGAGGCGGAAAAAGACGGGATTGGCCTTTCGCCTCCGCCAATCATCGCCCTAACGACCCAGAAGCTCACCCAGCGGCGAATGTAACTCAAGAGCTCGGGAAGCGCCCGCGGGGGACACTTTTCCCGGGAGAAGCCAAAGTGGCTGCTGCCTTTCGTCGCCTCTGCGATTCGCCCGCCTTGCTCTTTCTAGGGATGAGGGGGCTGCTCCGAGGCTCCGTTTCCACCTGCGGGGTGATCCTGACCGTCGCCATCCTGTACTGCTGCGCTAACAGAGCAGCTGCTTCAGGTAAGCAACCTGGCGCGAGAAAGCGGGCTGGCTGGAGGCCGAAAGAAGGAACAACCTGACATGTCTAACGGCCGACCCGCCGCTGCGCAAGCCGTGGTTGGGGAGCCTCTGGCATGGATATGCACCCAGAGGGAGGAGAGAAGGCGGTGTTGGGTTAGGGAAAGTGAGGCATCCCCGTTTAAACGCGTTGCGGGCTGGCTGGGCCGAAGGTGAGGGGGATGACGCCTTTGGGAACGCGTGAAGGATGCTCGCTTGCTTCTTTCTGCAAAGAGTCCGGTGGGTGGGTGACATGGGGCTGCCCCTGTGGCAGGTGGTCTCAAGCGAGCGCAGGAAACTGCGCTGCAAGCTCCTCTCCGCGCAACCGGGTTTGCTTTTGCCTTCCAGCATTGCGCGCGAGCAAAAGAGGTCTCCGGTTTGCGCCAAGGCCGCGAGTTTTACAGCCGTGACTTGACAGTTTCGTTGTCGTGGTTGTTGTTTTGGGCCTCCGGCACTCCAGAGAAAGCCGTAGTAGGAGTAACCTCGGACTATCGTTTCCCCTCCACCCCCGACGGTCAGGGCGACGGGGCCACTCTTAGAAATCCGAGCGAGATTTTTCACCGAGAGATAGATCTACATAGCGGCGCCTTCGACGACTGCAACTTATCTACGCCGTTTGCAGCCGCGGTCTGGGAATGGGGCGTCTGAGGTAGAGCGGCGACGTTGGCTCTTTGCCACGCTTGATCCAGGCTCCTTTCGCTTTCTTTCCCAGAGTTATTTATAGGCTTTGGAATAGATTCCTTGCGTGGTTTTTTTGGTTTTTTTTAGGAGTTAAAAACTTAGCTTACTCTTCGGTGGCCCCTCCGGTGTAAAGTAGAAATGAGCGCGAGGCTTTTGGAACTAGGTGGGGGACCGAATTGGACCAAGGAGAGTTTGGGTTTTCTCTTTGGTTTTCTCTTTTACCCTGTTCCAGCTCTGGTAGGAGATTTTCATATTTCTTTCCAATGCTACATTTGACTGCTGGACTTTCTAGATTGCGTGTGTGTGTGTGTGTGTGTGTGTGCGCGCGCAGGAATGAAAAGTGTTGAAGTTCTGGCAGACCAAATCAGCCTGATGAATTGAAGTTTCAGTTTGATTTCATAGATTTCTGTTTCTCTGAAATCTTTAAGACTATTAAAGGTATTTTGCAAGTCTGTGCAAGATAAGGATTCGCTGGTGTTTTTCTTAACCTTTTCTAAATTGCTTTAAAGATTGTGAGTTGAAATTTGAACCTACATTAATCCTACATTATTACTGTATAAATATCACAAAGTCTTTGGGCTTAAAACATTTGAAGGGAAAAAATTACATTATAATTTCATATGGGTTAAATTGTTCATATGCAAATGTTGTAAAACTTTCCTGTATATCATTTTCACTGGAACTATATGTAAATACTTTCAAGCATGGCAGTTTGATAGTATACAAGCCCTTTTATGTGTAAACAGTGTAACTAAGATTTACCTAACATTCTTCCACATACATTATGCGATAAATGTTATGAGACATTGTGTGAGTCTGTGTATATAGTGCACTCTTACATTATTTAGAAAGGGCTTCTGTCTAAGCAGATTATTATTTCCGTTGCTAATGCAATTATTCTAAAACTTTTCTGTATACCATTTTACTGGAATATAAATACTTTCAAGCATGACAGTTCAACAGCACATATCCTTTTTATGTATAAACAGTGTAACTGAGTTTTATCTAACATTCATTCACATATAATTGCTATTTGTGTGTGAAAGATTGTGAGTGTGTGTGTATATAATATGTAGGTTTGTATTATGTAGAAAGGACTTCTTTCTAACTACAGGTAATCCTTGAGTTGTGGCAGTTCCCCACGCCCACCCCTTTCTTGCCGACAAAGGCTTTTTGCAAAGACCACCAGAACCTACAGGGATGCAATCTTCCTGTAGCCTTTGGCAAACCTTTTCAAAAAGCCTTTGCCGGCAAGAATGGAGCCCAAGCAGGGCCGACACATCTCTCACGGGCTCTGTTCTTGCTGGCAAAGGCTTACCAAAGTGTTTTGCAAGCTGGTGGGATGCTTTGAGGCAGCGCAATTTTGCTGAACCAAAGCCTCCCATCGGCTTGCCAACAGTTTGGGTGCCAAGACTGGAAGCTTCTGGGGGCTGTGATCTTGCGTGGCTTCAAGCACTCACCCACTTTTGCAGAGAAAGAGTACCTGAAGTCACACGAGATCATGGCCCCCAGAAGCTTCTAGTCTTGGCTCCCAAACTGTTTGCAAGCCGAAGGGACGCTTCACGCTGCCTGAAAGCGTCCCATTGGCATGCAAATGTTTTGCGCATCAATACTGGAAGTTCTGTGATCTTGTGCGGTAGAGAGGCTGTAGAGGTGACAGCTCACTAGATCGTTGCCAGGTAAGTGACCTGACCCAGTGTGGCAGAATGGGAGAGGGAAGCAATTGTGGGGAACATGAGGTATCTTAGTGGATTGGGGGAGGCCTTGGGGGGTCTTAAGCAGGTGGCCTGTTCCATCACTAGCCCCCCCCCCATGGCCTTTCCCATCCTGAGTATTTCATGTGCACTTAAATGACCCGTGCACTTGATTATTGAATGCATGGGTGAAAGCAGGGAGTTTTCATGCTCGTTTTATGTGATTCACTCCAACAAATCCTCGAGTTACGAATGTAATTGTCATGCTCCATTACATTTATAACTTGAGGACTCCCTGTAGTTTATTATTCCTCTTGCTAATTGTTTATGGAGATTTTCTATTAAGTTCTATTTCTACTCAGTTCAGTTCTAAACTGAACTGAAGAAGTTTCTTGGATGAGAAGCAAAACATGAAAAAAAGCGTCATGACTAATTTTCATACTTACTTTACTTTTTTTATTGTCATTGCACCTCTACAATGAAATCAAACACCATCTTCAGTGCACATCATGACCATGAAAAGAAACACAAACACACATCCTTTACCCTTCACACAATGAACCGGAAACCCCCGACACCACACCAACACTGCGCTATACAGCAGAATTCAAAAGAGCTACTGCCCTGGGATAGAAGCTGTTTTTGGCCTATTTGTCCTTGTTTTTAGTCTGCCAGACGGTAATAGTTCCAAAAAGGGTTCCCAGGATGAGATGGATCTTTGTGAATATTTTGAACTTTCTTAAGGCAGCAGGAGCTATAAAGCTCTTCCAAAGAGGGGAGAGGGCAACCAATGATCTTCTGAGCAATGACATTAACCCTCTGGAGTGCTTTCCGATCTGCCGCTGTGCAATTGGCAAACCATACAGAAGTGCAGTATGTTAAAATGCTCTTTATGGTGCAGCGGTAGAAGGTCACCAACAGTTTTTCATTCAGTTGTTTTCTGAGAAGTCTCAGTAGTATAATCTCTGCTGGGCCCTTTTGACCAGGGCTGCAATGTGGGCACCCCAGGTCAGGTCCTCTTTTAGGGTAACACCCAGAAAGCATAAAATTGGCCATTTGCTTCACTTGGTCTCCATTGATAAGCAAGGGCTGGATGTCTAACCTGTTCCTTCTATAATCCACTATAAGCTCCTTGATCTTACTGGTGTTGAGGACCAAGTTATTGTCTCCACACCACGAAAGCAACCAGTCCACCTCATCTCAGTAGGCAGACTCATTCCTCCCGCAAGGTAAGTCCCACCACTGTTGTATCATCTGCAAATTTATATGTGTTCTTGGGCTCCAGCAGTTTATTTTGAAGCAGAATGCAGAATGTCTTTGTGGTTAAGAGATGCAGCAGACTCATGAGAAGTAATCTGAAAGCAGGAAAGATTACCCAAATGTTTGTAACTCGTTTGTATGGGGATCATTTCTTTGGTTTTCCTGAATTATTTTGTACAATCACCCTGTGATCTAGTTCTGACAGATAAGCTGCTGGTAGATAATTACAGCCCACTTGAACTAAGAAACTTCCTTCAACTTGTTAATTGTACTCCACCTGGGGGTTGCTCTGCAAGTGAGATGGGCAGTCTCTAAATTAGATATACATACATACATACATACACACACACATAAAATGTAACTTTATCCTGTCCATAACTGGTACCTGCAGTGGCTTTTCCTTTATAGCGATGCTGGGAAGTGCTATTTAATTGGATACTATGAAAGTGTCATACCTTTTGATAGACAATGGACCCATCATGATGAGAGTTTTAGGATGATTTCATTGGGTTTTTAATGAAAGAGAAGCTGTGGTCTGGCAAAGTTGGTGCTCCAAAATTGAAGGAAGAAAGAACGCAACCAGGCCCATTAAGTATAAATTGGAGTAAGATGCTCTGAAAGAAAAATCAGCAATTTCTCCCTTTTTTTTCCTGTTAGAAAAACAATTCTGTTTTAAGGGATTGCTTTGATACTGCTGGAGACCAAATGGCAATGTTAGGAAGCTGATATTTTGCTTCACAGAGCCATGCCTAATGACAGTCAAATGGACAAAGCCAGTGAGAGTGGTCATAGCATTCCAGCACGGCAGCAACATTTGCCAAATTGCAAGAGGAATGGGCTGGTTCTGTCTCCCCTCAGTTAAAGGTACACCCCAGAAAAACAGATTTAGCTGCAGGCAGTCTTCGATTTACAACCACAACTGAGCCCAGAATTTCTGTTGTTAAATGAGACATTTGTTAAGTGAGTTTTGCCCCATTCTGTGACTTTACTTGCTACAGTTGTTAAGTGAATCACTTCAGTGGATAGGTTGGTAACCTGGTTGTTAAATGAATCTGGTTTCCCCCATTGACTTTGCTTGTCAGAAGGTTACACAAGCAGGTCACATGACCCCAAGGCACTGCAAACATCATAAATATGACTCAGTTGCCAAGTGTCTGAATTTTGATCATGGTACCACCGAGATCCTGCAATGGTTGTATGTGAAAAAATGGTCATGTCATTTTTTCAGTGCTGTTGTAACTTTGAATGGTCACTAAATGAGCTGTTGTAAGTCAAGGAACTGAAGGGAACTGAAAAGGAAACCTGATTTGATGTTGGATGGATAGGATA